ATATCCAAACCATATTTAATATTTCATTTTGTAGAAAACTGTCTCTGTGGCTGGCCTTTCAAACTTTGTTCTCTTCTTTCTGCTTAGTAGAAACTTATTGATGAATAACATATCCCTGCCACTATTAGTGTTTATAGTTCTGTGCCATGAAGTCATTGATATAACTGGAAACCAGTTAAACATTTGTGCATAGAAAACATTAAATAAATGTATAGAGAACTGAATTGTGAGAATTACATTTAATTTGGGATGTAGAACAAAAAAGTATCCTCCACTGTTTTGAACCATAATTTTCTATCAGATTACTTTTTATTCTGGTCAATTTTGTGTCTGTGAATAGAGAAAAAAATGACAGTTGACAGGTTTTATCTCTTAGGGAAGTTCCTTCACTATTATAGGGCTTGGAAAATCAAGAAGGCAATTTCCATATAGATATACAGTATTATTTGTTTTATAATATTTTATTTCTCTGCCCTCATAATAGTGCTCCAAGAATTAGGCATTACATGTTATATCTCTTTAACACTGCTGGTGTTTTCCTCTACTCAGGGAAAGGAGGATAAGTGGAAATATTTTGATGCCTTTATTTTTCTTGGGTCCCGGGGCTGAGATCTCCAAGCCTGCTTGGATCGGGGCTGAGCATCCTCCACCCAGATCCTCCAACTTCCAGTAGGCAGGGGTCACACCCACCAGCTGGTCCCCTGGCTCCATGTAATCCCATCAATGGCCAAGACCCAGAGACTATAAAACCCAGTTCCCGGAAGCGACATCTTATTATCTCATTCTTACTTTGGACAAAATGCCACGCTACCGAATGTAACCTGCCCACACAGCAGAGTCTGGCAAACTCTCCGTGGTGTACCCAATATGCCAAATACCAGTAACAATGAAGAGTCTCATTCTCCTAACCCTGAAAGAGCCTTTAATATGGCACTTTTTAAAAAAATCTCAGGGCTAGGACGAAGGGGACGTTACTGGGGCCTGCTCGAGGCAATTGACGAACAACAGGATAGTCGTGATCGTGATCAGCTTAGTTTATTTGTGTGATCCAAATTATTCAAATTCATGCAAGTCTTCACATTAAATAGGTTTCTCATTTTTGTTTTATCTCCCTCCTTGATTTTTCTCTGATTATATAAAAACTTGAAAGTAAACATACAAAAGAAAAGTTGGCTATTCATTGTCTCCTGGTCATCCTGGGATGCATATTCAAATAACAAAGAGTTAAAAAAAAAAGTATTTAGAAAACCTTCTTACTTTTGCGCAAGTTTATATACCAAATTATCCAGCAACCTATGGTTATAAATAGTCTCATTAACATAAATACTACTGTCACTTTTTTCTTTTCCTCCATGATTCTAATACTCTCAAACTTTTTATTTCTTATGTATTCTTGTGAGTAACCTGGGGTACTTCATATTATTTAGGAGTTTGATTTGTCAGACTTGGAAGATATTCTTTGGTGGTAGACTTCCAGTTTTCTCTTCTAGGATACTTTTTTTTATCTTTGGAGAGAGGGCATTGTTTTCAGTAATTGATGCTTGCTCTACCTGGGACTCAATCCATTTGTGGGCATGTAATTACTTGCCTCTATAGGGAACTGTGGTCTCACTGGGATATGCTCTTGTTTTGAGTAGATGTCATAGTGTACTATGAGTAATTCTCTTCTCTGATAACAAGGATGTCTTTAGTGATTTATGTTCATTACTTTTTGCTCTTTTATCCCAGAGGTAAATTCTTGACTTGATGTACATGGACTTCAAAGCCATTCTTTATCCCACAAGTATAACTACAGAGAATTCTTGCTAAATGTTTCAGTTATGTTCACTTCTTTGCAGCCCTCCTCAAAGAAGCAGGGTTAAAGTCACCTGGTTTAACCAAGTATATCTCATCTGAGGATAATCTCATCTGATCTCTGGAAGTAAATAAGTTTTCATCATATTTCCCCAAATGTCCTTTGTAGTTTTATTTTATTGGTTGTAATTAAATGTGATATTTCCCTTGCAGACTACTGCAAATGTTTAGAAGTAGTGTGGTGTCATAGAAAAAGTATACAAAAAAGTCTACTAAAAAGTGTACTAAAAATTAAAAATTCTAAGAGCCTCACATTCTTGAAGGGTATGTTTATTGGAGGATAATCATTGTTTATTTTCATTTATTCTGTAGTTTTATTGACTTCATTATTGTCTTAAACATCCCATAAGTTCTTACGGATACAAGAATTAACTATATGTGCTATAATTATTGGTCCTGGTTGTACATTACATTTGGGAATCATCATACTGCAGGGGCAAATAGGTCATGCTTTTTTACCTTAATAAATATTTATCAGAAAGTTGTTAAGTGTATTCAGTTTCAGGTTGACAGTTGCTTTTATGTAGTGCAGCAGACAACTTATGTCTCCGAATGTCTAATAGTAAGTCTTCTGGTTCTTTAATGCAAAAGTTTTCTGACCATTGAAGTTGAGTCATCATGGAGAAGATAAAACACACGAAATAATAACTCCAAATTTAGAGGAAGTATTTGGAAGTGGGCCTTGGAACCAGTGTTCAAGATAGAGTATTGTTGGAGTTAAGAAACACAAATAGATACTTAAAGAACAAATATATCATCTAGTAGTAAGAAGCTTATAAAAATTAATGAAGGTGCAATTGATGATACTGCAATGGAAAGGAATTACTGTATCAGAAACGTCTTACGTCTCTAGGGAAATTTTCACAGAAACATTCAGACAGATTCTTGAAGAATAAGTTCATTCATAGGGAGAGATAAAAATCCAGTAAGTCTGGTAATAGGGAGAGAAGAGATGGAGAGAAAGCTTATACAAAAGCAAATATGTGAGCTTTGCCTATTGAAGTAGCACTGTAGCACTGTCCTCCCGTTGTTCATTGATTTGCTCAAGCGGGCATCAGTAACATCTCCACTGTGAGACTTGTTGTTACTGTTTTGGGCATATGGAATACACCATGGGTAGCTTGCTAGGCTCTGCCGTGTGGGTGGGATAGCTTGCTGGGCTCTCCAAGAGGGACAGAAGAATCGAACTCAGGTCGGCCACATCCAAGGCAAATGCCCTACCCACTGCGCTGTTGCTGCAGCCCACCTATTCAAGTAAGGAGAGAAACTTAGCCTGGCCAGAGGGTTGAGAGGAGAAAATGGAATGAGGGCATAGGACAGAAAAGTAAGGTCAAAAGTTGGGGGAAACATATTGTGTTAAAAGATTTGTAGCATATTGTGTTTATTTATATTTTGAAGTTGAATGGAAAAGTTAGTCTAGAAATATTTTAGTTTTTCCTCTGCTAACTCATCACGATCACAATCACGATCATCCTGTTGTTCGTCGATTGACTCGAGCAGGCACCAGTAACGTCTCCTTCGTCCTAGCCCTGAGATTTTAAAAAGTGCCATATTCAAGGCTGTTTCAGGATTAGGAGAATGAGACCCATCATTGTTACTGGTATTTGGCATAATGGGTACACCACGGGGAGTTTGCCAGACTCTGCCATGTGGGCAGGTTACATTCGGTAGCCTGGCATTTTGTCCAAAGTAAGAATGAGATAATAAGATGTCATGCGGCCAGGAATGTGGCTGTGCCCTTCCAAGAGCTGGGTTTTGTAGTCTCCGGGGCTTGGCGGTTGATGGGATTACACAGCGCCAGGGTACCAGTTGGTGGGTGTGACCCCTGCCTACTGGAAGGTGGAGGATCTGGGTGGCGGATGCTCAGCCCCGATCCAAGCAGGCTTGGAGATCTCAGACCCAGGACCTGCATGCCTTTGTTCCTCTGCCGGTACCTTCATGCATGTGGAGAGTGGTCTCAGCATGATTATGGCTGGTTCTGGAGGTCTTCGGCTGCTGGAGCTCTGGTCGGGGTGGTGAGAGAAACTCAACCCACCCCCCTTCAAGGGGCCCTGGTGAGGACAGCCAGGAGTGGGGGCAGGAGACTCTGCGCTGTTCTCTTCCGGGAGCTAGGTTTTACAGTCTCTGGGTCTTAAGCTAACTCATATAGTAGCTAAAATGCTCTAGCTCTAAAATATGCTTCCTGATTATATCAGTTACTTAATTTGATACTCTCAGGATAAGAAAATACTTGAAATTATTTAAAAAATTACTTGATTTTTATAGTGTGGGTGACCTGACTGTATCCTATAATTAATCCACTTTTCTTAATAATAGACATAAAGGTAATTCTACTTTGTGAAGTCGCAGAACAAATTTGAGAAAATAACCTTCTGGAAGAGAGATACCTTGCTTGCTAAATTCAATAATGATCTTAATAGAGAATGCAATATAATGGTGAAATACATATAAATGATTTTTATTTCACACAGAAGGATTCTATAAAATTGTGATGATTTTATTGTCAACTTATATATTATTCTAAATTAGTGATAATGCCCACTACAGCCAACCCTTTAAAAGTCTTTAGACTCATAATTTGGTGTGTGAGTTTCTGTGAAATTCTTCAACATAATATCTTATTTTAGTGTTTGGAAGCTTCTCATATATGTCAGATTTCTAAATGCAATTCAATCTGTGTTTGGACACTAACTGCCATAGCTGTAATGCTACTCGCTTCTCTAACAAACTACATATTGTTGGCTTCAAATCCTTAAATTGAAATGATGATTGAGGCCTCTAATAATCTAAAGCAACTCTGTGTCTACATTTGATTTACCTTCTAAGCACAGTTAAATAAATGCAGCGTAGACTTTTACTGTTTTACCAATATATAAAAAACATTCTCAAGTTATGCTTAATATTATGATGCAACTTGAAACCTGGTTTAAACACCAGTAAGAACTGATAGGGTGGGGGTGGGGGGGTGCAAAACTCTTGGTTTCTTTTATTTAAACGTCAAACATTCCCAATAGAGGAGATTCTAAATAATGCATTTAAAAAATACTTTTTAATGAGTAACTATTGCCCTCTCCCTACAAAGGAAAATAGGGCCAATGTCGGACATTTGTTACTATTGAGCTCTTGACCTTGCTCTTTCTTCACAGATATTGATGAGTGTGCAGAAGGACGCCATTACTGCCGTGAGAATACCATGTGTGTCAACACACCAGGGTCCTTCATGTGTATCTGCAAAACTGGATACATAAGAATTGATGATTACTCATGTACAGGTGAGCAATGCCTATGTATCAAATAAGACTTTTAGTGTCTAAAATTTAAAAGTTAACTCTAACTTTAGTAAAGTAAGTCATTAATACTCCCTATGACAAAACCAACCATAGACCGTAAAGTACATTTTTATTTGTTGACAATTCTAACGATACTAAGGAAACTAGTACCAGCTTACTTTGGGCAAGTTTAATGCTACCTGTTATGGCAGTAAAGAAAAACTAAAGAATAAATTAATCTTATATCTAATTTTATACTTCATCATCTTTATATTTAAAATTTGTGTAGATTCTATGTCAAATATATGAAATAACCCCAGAACATTTCCTTTATGTGGCAATATATATATAATGAGTCATTATATAGTATAATATTTCATAAATATATTCTTAGAGTGCTAGGAATTAGGAATGTTAATGATCTACATACTTCTGGGATGTGCTATTGAAGAATCATATATGGAAGAATCTTATGTTGTTTTATGAAATATGACTTCCTTCCATACCCTTAAAATCCTCTTTATGAATGCAATCTTTCTATATCTGTCCCTCAATGCCTCTTTTGCAAACCACAGCACCCAAAAGGAGAGAGAGAACAAAAGGGAATGCCCTGCCACAGAGGCAGGGTGGGATGGGGGGATGGGGGGTGGGATGGATACTGGGACCCGTGGTGGTGGAAAATGGGCACTGGTGGAGGGATGGGTACTCGATCATTGTATAACTGAAACCCAAGCACAAAAATTTGTAAGTCTACAACTGTACCTCATGGTGTTTCACTAATAAAAATTTTTTAAAAAGGTGAACAGGTGAGCAAAAAAAAATCCTCTTTATGAATGTCTCATATTCCCGATGTTAAAATGTCTGAGATTGATCCTAGCATGAGATAACCTATTTCTATTATGAAGTAAAATGATGCTGGAAGATCACATGATTTGAGAAAATGTGTGTATAAGATAAATTCCTCTGGATATCTTTTTTCTTTCAATAGAACAAAAATGCTAAACAAGAGAGCACTTTAAAATATTCTATGTAGCCCAGTGATACGATAGATGCTCTTCTGTGTGAGATCCTGGGTCCAGGCTCCAGCACCACTATACAGTAGGATATTCATGCAGCTTTTAAACATCTTATCTTTTGATTATTAAAAATTTATTATATATAAATTTTATTACATAAATAATAATTAGGTTTTTACCAGGAAAAAGGTGCAGTAACACTCTATAGTAAGAGTATGAATTTATAAAAATTCCATTTTGCATTCATATTAGTGTGTCCTAAGTCTTTATCACAGTGGTGATACTGTATACTACTTGATAATTGTCATTTAGAGCTAAAGAAGTGTCCCTTAAATTAAGATATAGTTTATACATAAAAATTAAATGATATGTAGAAGTAATGAGATCTGACTTTTTGATTTGTAGAGAATGACTTAAGATACTCTAAAGATAGACATTATACTTACTGTTTCACCAATAAATAAAAAATATTCTCAAGTTATGCTTATTTTGTCTGTTAACCTTATTTTAGAGATATAGTTCAACATAGAAGGGAACATAAAGGAACAAATTTTGAAACCACTAATTGTTCTGATAGTCTAAAGTTTAGTGAGAAGAGGGATTGGTAAATTAGGAAAAAGAGAAACTATGGGAAGATTAGAATTGGATACTTTATTGTAAACTTAGTGTATAGTATATGCATGTTAATTTTTTATGTTGCACACATGAAATATATAATGTTAAAGTGACTTGCTATTTCAATAATAAGAAGAGCACATTTGAATACATGGAAAACAATGTACACAGTTTACTGAGTTCCAGTATAATTTTGTTACTTAGAATTTTCCCCTAAGATTCTAAAGATTCAATGATATAAATGAAATGCCTTTTTGTAGTAATTACAAGAAAGAACAAAAAGCATTTTAGGCAGAGCTATTCAGATCATCATTTGGGAGCCTAAGGGATTAGAGCCAAAATTTTTAAGATCTAGTAGATAAATGGAATGAACTTTCTTTGTGATGCAGCCTCATTTTATACTTCCTACATCAGTATTTTAATGCTTTCATTTACAAAAAAAAAAGAAATTTTCTTGCTCTTAATTTTTTATACATTAACTAGGTCTACAAATTTGAAATTCACCTTGCATAAGAGCGGATTTTCTAGGGAATATGATTGGATTTTATTGTAGTCCACAGTTCGATGATCATTGACAAAATGTTTCTTTATGTTAGTTATACAAGCTGAACACATATTCAGGCATGCTATAAAGGAAATGTTTAAGTTCTCCCTTGGAATATTTCATACATTTCTAATATTAGCAATGGGATCCCTCTTGTAGACTTTTGATATGGCTGAAAATATCTAGACTGTGCCTTTTCATGAGCTTTTGATCATTCCTGGCAAGCTCGGGGAATTACAGGGAATCAAACTCCTGTAGGTCACATGCAAGATAAGTGCCATATGCACTGTACTCTTTAGCCCAAAAGAATCCCTTTAAATCTCATTATAATTATAATAATATTATTTTTATCCTTTGAAGGAATATATAGGCATAGGAATTCTGCATAGACAGAAAAATTAATTTTCATAGTAAAGTCATAACTTTTTATTTATTCATTTTCAAATGATTTGAGTTGTATTTTCTTCATGATCTTAAAATTTTGCTGGTGAGAATCCTTGAAGAGAATTTAATCCAGTTTTCTTTCACAAATGAGGAAAGAGAAGCTCAGAAAGATTACCTTCCCCACAGACTTAGAGTTAGAGAGAGGCAAAATGGAGCCAAAGGATAAACTTCCTGTCCTAGCTCTTATAAGAATTACCATTTGTTTTATAATCACATAAAATAGTGGAAACGATTAATATTTCTATAATAATGTAAGCTTTGATGTGTATTATTTAATAAAGTATTTTCAAATTTCTTAGCTTCAACTACAAAAGGAAAAAAATTCTCTCTAGGTATTGAAATAATATTCTCAAATTAGAAGAAATAGAATTCACCATTTTATACTAAAAACTTGGACGTGTCATTTTCATAGATGATACAGCAGTTTTTTAAAGTGGCTGTAATTTTCCTTCAGTGTGTATATCTTTTTCTTATGTTCATAATCTCTCTTTTCATATCCTTTTCTGTTCTTATGGAAGAAAGCATATGTGTAGCTAAAAAGAGAGAGAGCAAGAGCAGAGAAGAGAGGCCAAAGAGGGGAGAGTATAAGGAAGAATAGGGAATGAATGGAGAAGGAAATTAATGGCAAAAAGTAGAGGAGACATTGAGAAAGGAAGAGGAAGGCAGTGTGTTTAATTTTTGTGACCCATGCTATTAGAAATCTACCCTTCAGAATTTCGGATTGCAAAAAGACTAACAATTTCTTGATTAATTCTCTAGGATAATCATCTTCATGATTCACTGACATAGGCACTAACTAAATTTGGATAAATCTTTCATATTATACGTCTTTTCGTTGGAAATTATGTAGTGAACAAAAAAGTAAAATGCATTTTAGAAACAAAATGGAATCAAGTATTTTAGAATTATTAAAGGATAAATGCATAATCAAAGATTACAAGTTTTAAGAAGAGGAACATTAGTTCTTGTGTGTGTGTGTGCGTGTGTGTATGTGTGTACATATCTAATGATTAGTTTATAATCTCACTGTTGTGCAGGCTTCCATGGAGGGAATAATATGGGAAGGCTGCATTAGGAGAAGTGATGGAAAATGGTTTTGTTTGGTTCAAGCAGTAAAGTGGTCCTTTAGGGCAGTGGTTATCACATGAGATATTTCATCACCTATGTGCTCAAGGTTATTTGACTAGAGAAATGTGTTGGGAGAAGTGTTTGGTTATTCATCACTTGGGGGAAGGAAGGTTGGTAAATGCGAAGGATGCTGGTATATACTCTAAAATATTATTAGATTAGCTATTCTCCTGAAGAAGTGTTTTATTTTTCTGGGAACTTTTCAACTTGTAACTTTTCTGAGGCTACTTCTGACTGAGTCGTTTATCTCCATTATACAGAAGACTCTCAAATAGAATAGCTTTTCATCTGACCTAAAAAGTCACAGTGCCTGATTGGGAAATTCTATCAAAACTGTTAGATGTGTACTTTTTTTTGATTTTTTTTAACTTTTTGAATTTCCTTTCAGCTCTGTATTGTGATGTTTCTCTCACATTTTATGATACCCAATATCTTCTTTCCCCCAAATTTATTTATTATATATTTTTTAAATTAAAAAAAAATGAGTTCCACACAGTTTTCCATCGCCAGTTTCATCATCAGTGTGCACTCCTCTCCGCCAAGACCCCAGTCTCTCTCCCACTCCCAATCTTCCTTTATGGTGACTGCCCACTCTATTTGTGAAACAATGTAGTTTTTGTTAAAATTTATTTACAGGAGCCGGAGCAATAGCACAGCGGGTAGGGCATTTGCTTTGCACGTGGCCAACCCGGGTTTGATCCCCGGCATCCCATATGGTCCCCCAGCACTGCCAGGAGTAATTCCTGAGTGCAGAATCAGGAGGAACCCCTGAGCATCACTGGGTGTGACCCAAAAAGCAAAAAAAAAAAAACACCAAAAAAAACCACCAAAAAACTTATTTATAAATATATGAGGAGGGAGAAAAACTGAACACAAGCTTCTCCAGAGTGGAAATAACTAAACAAGAAACATACAAGCAAAGGAGATACAAGTTCAAGGGAAAACACACAGGAAAAGCATGCCAAGGCGGGCTCTTTCTAGACTCTTCCAGCACCGGGACTTGCTACTTCCTTCCAGTATTGTAATATGTTCCCTTCCAGGACCCATACCCCCCACCCCACACCCTACCCTGTAGCAAGCTGAAGGCTAGTTCTTGAGTCTTTTGTTTCTACTACCTTTGGGCCCACCGCCCTGCCCTACTGTATTTCTTCATAGCCTTTATATGGCAGAGACCATTCTGTGTCTGTCCTTCTGTCTGACTAATTTCCCTGAGCGTGATACTCTTCAGATCCATCCACATAGCAGCAACTTGCATG